ATATATATATATATATATATATGTTAGCTCTCATTTCCTTAAATGTAAAAGTATAGAAAAAGTAAACTGCAAGTATTGACAGAAGATGATCTGTCACAGAAGACCACAAAGGACCAACAGCAGAAGATGCTCAAGCGTTCAAGTCTCAAGTGACAGAACCTCTGTCGTGTCTCACAAAGGTTCTGTAAACTGGTCCTCTGCATAGACGTTGCTACAAGTCAAAGACGACATAACCTCTGTCGTGTCTCACAGAGGTTCTGCAGCATGTCTTCTGCATAGATCTTCTTTAAGCTGTKTTACTTAGGTTTACTAGCTGCTCGTGCTTATCACGTGTTCTTGTCTGTAACCTGTTTATGATCCAACGGCTTAGATTAATTTGCTTTAGGTCTTGTCAGAAAACAGTTATTTGCTTGTATAAATAGCAGCGTAGGCCCTTGTATTTCAGTGTGCTTCCGTATTGTAATTGTTAACATTTTCATCTTTTGAAAATCATTTGAAGTTCTCTCTTGTGTTCATCAATCTTCATTACTGTGTTCTTATTGATGTCTACTTTGGTTGATTCATATCTTTTCCGCTGCATTATCCCTGTCAAACAGATCATCCAAGTAAGTAATTAATACCAAGAAACCGAGTTAATCGATCCAACAATATACATTTATTAATTCAACCTTAATCTGAGAATCTGGACAAGAAAGAGGGTAAGCAGCTGAAATTTCATTCTAAAACCCATATTTTTTTGTCTTTTCATGGCTTATGATCTGTCAAATTTGTAGTTTTCTTTATTGGTTTTGAGTGTTTATCTTAAAACTCAAGTTTCTTGGTTCTTTGCTCGTGGTGTAAATCGAATACATTTGTGGAGTCGTTTAAATATGTTGGATTTTAAATACGTTGGATTTTAAACTGTCATACAATTTTTTCATCGATAGTCTGAAATTGGAACCATAACTCTTATTTATTCAAATTGTATTAATATGTAAGAACCAAGTGTAACCTATATTATCGTTAAATCTTATCTTATAAAACCAGTAGAACTTCAAAATCGTTAAAATTAATGGCTCCCGTCGCATTGCGCGGGTACATAACTAGTATATTAGTTATAGATACATACATGTAAGCAAATAGACATATACATTCACATATACACACATACATATGTGATATGTTTAAGTATTCTTTATGTGCGTGCTTTTAAATAGTTCTTTTACAACAATCGCAGTATCGGGATAATCCGGTGATAATTTTGAATCTAATTTTGTAATTTGGATTAGTACCTTATCTGTGTACTGAAAATAAATTTGTAATGTATTTAGTTACATGCTAATTACACGAAATGCATAAAACTAAAATTAGTTTTTCTAAATCATAATTTTATCGACGGATTAACCAATAACGGACCAACAAAATAGTTATTGACAAATTTCCGACGAAAAGCTTATAGGTGATTTTTTTCAACGAAATAGATATTGACGAAGTTCTGAAGAAAATTATGTGCTAGCTAGGGTGTCGAGACCGTCAATATCAAGATGTTTGATGGGTGCATTCATACTTTATCGAATTTAAGTATTTGGCATTGATGATTTGTTCCTTGATGTCAGTCGGATAATTATCTAGACTTGGTTATATACAAGATCAATATTAAGGGAGAATTTTGTATGGGTATCTCTTGAATGACCATAATATGATTGTAGTGAAAGGCGAGTATATAGAAAACAACTCGCTTCATTTGATAGGCGAGAGTGACATAATAGGCATGTAAAGACATATAGCTTAAAGTATCATGATGCTACCCGTTTGTGGCATTTGAGACTGTCATGTCTTGGAAAAGAACCTCGATGTTTGTTTTGTGCTGATGGAAATTAATCAAGGTCCACGCACATGTCAATTTATCAACTTTGATTGTGTACTAACTCTGTTATGGGGAAGCTGGCATACATGAATTCCTTTTGGGGTTGCTCAACACAACACCAAAGGGGATAAATTCTTAATATCTTGGGTTCTGCAAGCACTCAGTCTCGGTGCAGGTATGTGTTTCGTTTTGTTCATTGATGATTTCCCACATATGTTATGGTTATATGTGTTGAAATAGAAATTGGGTCTCTGAGAAACATTCAAAACTTGGTTAGCACGAGTTGAAGTTGACACCGGAAAGAAGCTGAACGTGAATACATTAATGATCAGAGGGTTTTCACGTGAAATCAGTTGCAAATTGATCTACAAAGTCAAGATGATCACATAAAAGGGCAAGACTACTGGCGAAAAGGTTTTCACATAGAAAGGGGATTGAATATGATGATATATAATATCGTATGGTTTAATGTACGTTGATTCTTGTTCATTTCTCTACCACGAAACCAGCTTTTCAACACGGTGTTTTGGATGAGATTATCTAAATGGAGTAGCTAGATTGTTTTCATTGCAGTGGGTAAAGTTGATTAGGTCTGTAAGATGGAAGTCCTTATATATATGGATTTTAGCAGTTTTCTTGATAATGTTACAAAAGGTAGTTGATGCTTTTAATTGGATTTAATATAATGGTGAATGATGCTTATATATACTATCACATAGTTGGTGGTATTTAGATATATTTACTTTTGTATGTGATCCGCATGCTCATTTCTTGCAAAGATAAGTCTGAAATCAACAAGCTGATAGATTAACTGAAAACAAAATTCAAGAGGAAACATATTAGGCAAACGAAGAATGTTTTGGGCGTCGAGATTCTGCAGGACGCTAAAGTCTTTTAAGCTGATTTAGCATGATTACATTCAGAAGGTACTTAGTCTGTTAAATCTTGATGGTGCAAAGTCGAACAACACTCTACTACCTTTTCACAAGAACATGAAAATTGATTTCCTCGTAGATGAGAAAGGGAATGTTGAGATCGAGAAAGTTACATATATTAGTATTGTTGGGAGTTTGATGCTTGCGCTCTTTTGTATCCCAACCATGCACAATCAGTTGGAGTTGTTAGTTGGTTTCTATCAAATCAAATTATTGGGTAGCCGTAAGATGAATGTTTGGCTTCTAAAGGGAACATCATCTCATGGTTTGATATTCAAAATATCTTATAGTTGTGATATAGTTGGATATTGCGAGTCGAACTATGTAGGGGATCTTGTTAGTCGGAAGTTGACTCTAGATTACATGTTTACTCTAGGTCGTAGGGCTATCGGAAAGATCCTAACTACACTTTATCATACCTTTGTGGAATATTGAGGCTAAGTCGATTCTATTGGGGCTATTAGGTGGTGGTCTGGTATTCGTACTTGAAGTTGTTTAAGGAAGCTATGCATTTGAAGCAATTATTAAGTGAATTGAGTTTTAATCAAAATTTCATGGCCATGGATTCTGATAGTGATAATATTTTCAAATTATATGGCATGTTTTAACTATGATTTACAACTAGGATACTCACCTTGGTTCATTTTATGAAATCACCTTGGTTCATTTT